GCTTTCGCTGTCATTTATGCTTGCAGGATGGGGGTTTAGTTTTGCTCATTGTTGTCCCATACTCGTTTCTACACTTTAAAAAAAAAAGCGGGGGGGAGAAAATCAGGGTAACCATTAACAACATAGTACACAAGACAACACGGAACGAATTCTGCGGGGGCCAGCACACACACGTAAACAGCGTCCTGTGGGACTTTGGGCATACATCTTGTTTTGTTTTTCTTCTTCTCCTTTTTTTCCTCCTCCTCCTCCTCATTTCATTCATTCCGATTTCATAAGGTTTGTAGTCTATGACTAACTCTATCACCTTCTGGGCAACTGAAAATACTCCAGTGGAGTAACCTGGTAAGTCACATTTCAAGAAAGTGGGGGGATAATCAAAATTCAAAGTTTGAAAGTAGGCCTACAAATCTTAAAGTATAAGCAATACAGAATTTCTTTTGGGGCCAACGTTACATGGCATGTGCCTTAGCTGGATTAGCCGTAGACTTATTTGTGGAGAAGAAAGTTCAAATTTTACAGAAGGCAACAATTTATGGGGGAAAATCTCATTTTTTAAAATGTGGCTCAACTCGTTTTTCCACGGGGTCCTCACTTTTCTTAAACACTGACTCTCAACTATCACTTATAAAAAATAGCGCCAATAACAACAATAGACAAAAGCGATAAAGCTTTAACAACACAATTATGATATGTCATTAACAACACTTTGAAAGCTACAAGTAAAGTCATTATAAGGGGGTTTAGGATGTAAGACTATAACGTCCATCCATCTCCGAATGGAAGGAGCCCTTCAGGTTTTGGACCAAAAGACGTTCAAAACATGTCAACTATGATAAGGCGTAGAAAAATTCTAATAATAATAATAATGGCAATAAATAATAATAATGATAATAATAATAATAATAAATAAATAATAATAACTATAATATTAAAAACAGTAACAACAACAACAACAATAATAATAATAATAATGATAATAATAACAATATGATTCAAATGCATACGCAAGACGTGATATCATCAGTTATCATGGGTTTCGTGCCAGTGCTGTTACGAGTCCACAGAGCTAATATCGCACGTGGGTACTATTTATTATTAGTATTATGATCATTAAAACTTTATAGCTTTGCTTGGACTAACTAATGACTGCTTAATATTTGAGCTTTTTAAAAATCCTGCGAACAAAGTCCAAGGTTTTTTTATTTCTAACTGACAAAACTTCAAAATCACAACCCAAAAAGCCGAGTGCACAAAATTAAAATCAAGACTTGTTTCGCAAAACGAAACAAAAAAAAACTTTGGATACAATAAACGATGCATAAGTGTTCTGTGTCATGCGCTTGTGTCATACAACAAAAGTGTGGACAATTTTAAACAACAAAATACAAGAAAAAAAAGAAAGTAGGAACAGGCATGCATAAAATTAAGACAAAATTTTAATATTGTGAAGGGGTATATTTATTATGTTTAAATTTAACTGACCACGTAGACAAAAGATTTTCTTCATTGATATGGCTTACATTTCCGAGTTAAGTCTACATAATTTGATGAATCTATTCATAATTCTCATATAACGGCTACATCTCAGAGAAGGCTGTTGCTATAAGTGTAAGATACCAGTACTTGAATGTACTGCTTTGAACTAATGTGTTGTTTCATCACGTGACAGGCAGTGAATGACTCGAAATCGAAAATAACTAGCTCGGGTTGAACGACATCCCAGATAGAGATAGCTCTCGAATGATCACCGCATAGGTTGAAGCATGGGGAGAAATTCCACACTATACCATCAATGAGCACACACAGTCGGACCTGCTCGAAAGGCCATCTGCCCACAACTATCACCAGTACAAATTAACCACTTTCTACTCTCCCCCCCCCCCCTCCACCTCTGCATTAAAAAAAGTTAAAATTACACTGTTCAAATTGTTCATCATTTATTTTTTAAAGTTTAAGTAGAGGTGTTATGGTGCTCGCAACTGCATAAGGTCATATGAGCGCCAGAAGATTAGAGGAGTTACAAGAGAGTGCAAAGTTCATCATTTCTCTCCTCTCGGACAATTTCAACTGCACCGCGTTAATTGAATGTTATTGGGAGTTATTCTGAAGAACGCTCAATATGCTATCTTGAAAACAACCTCACATCTTCAACCTGTCTTTGTTATAAAGTCTTCAGTTTTGTTGTGAAAATTACCCAGACTTACTAGAATTAATATTCGAGACCAGAAATTCATGACCACATGATCAGAACGGCCCTGTTAGAACGAAAGTAAAACATTTTTTTATATGCGGTCTTCTTATGTTTGGACCCCTTATTATCTGCAGGAAAATGTATAAAACTAATGCAGTGAGCAACTGTGAACATTGTATCTCCACCTTCCCCTTGTACAATATAAAGCTTCTTGACCGTTACTTTAATTTTTGTTTTAATAAGACTTTTACAATACTTTCCTCTTGCACAATGTAAAGCTTCTTGACAGTTACTTTAATTTTTGTTTTAATAAGACTTTTACAGCACTTGAAACACAAATTAGCCTGCTCGACGGTTATCTGAAGAGGGTTGACCATGCAGAATTTCTCCCCACACAAACAAGTCGCGTCATATACGTAGCACAGCTCACTCCTCTAAAGACTCGATGATAACAACGGCAATAACAACAGCAATAACAACAGCAAACCTCTACACGGTGAAGCCACACACAGCAACAACCACACTATTACACGTGTTTGACACAATAACTTAAATTGGCAAAAGGCCGTTATTTGTATTCAAAAAAGCATACTGCTGAAAATACAACAAAATGTACAAACTAGGTAGAGGCGTAATATTTATAGTAAAAAGATATAAAGAATCAATGAAAGTTTGTGCCTGAAACGAAGCAGGTGAGGATAAAGCACACGAGTGCAAATTAAGCAGTAACATATTTTGTATTCCCCCCTCCCTACCCAATTTCATTCAACAAAATTTACGTTTCTTTTTAAAGCTTCAATCTCTAATAGCTATATTTTTTTACTCTATACTACAGATGAAAGCAAAGGGTACTTTTATATATATATATATTATATGAAAATACAATGTCGTCTGCAAGATGACAAAACAAAAAGTGACAACGCACCTCACACTTTTAAAGCTGAAATCTCCGATATCTTGCTATTTTTTCACACTCTCTACACTATAATATAAATAAAAAAGCAACGGGCACTTCTATTTAAAAAGACATTGTCATCTACAAGTACAAGACAATAGCAATAAACCACACATGAAGTGATGACATCAGAGAACACACAAAGCTGTGACGTACCTCGCGTGTGCTGACCTCCAGCTGGAGCCCTTCCTTCTCCAGACTCTGCTGGAAGTTGGCGCGCCGAGTGCTCTTCTTGCCCTCCTCGCCGGCGTTGTTGTCCTCTGTGTACACCAGCACGAAGTCCACGCGCCGCACGCCGTCGTCCATGAACAGGGACGCTTCCTCCTGAACACACAGACGTACACGGACGGACGCACGTACACACACATAAACAGACACAAATACACACAAGCACAAACACAAATACAGATAAAGGTACATAGAAGCAGAAACACACATTCATACATAAACACACATACAGACAAAAAGACACATACACGAACAGACACAAAAACACAGAGACAGATACATAAATAAAGAAAAGTTAGTAAACGGTCTTCTGAATTTCAAGTATAACTTGGTCTATCTAAGACCATGGAGAGATAAGTCAGCAGAAATTAGGAATAGAAGTGATTTATCATGAACAAAGACAGTTCTAAAATGGTATATATAAATTGAGGAATTAAATATAACTACACAATAAGCAATAGAGGAGGAAAAAGGAAGATATCACCGTGTGTGTGTGCGTATGTGTATGTGTGTGTGGGTGTGTGTGTGGGCGTGGGCATGTGTGTGTGTGCGGTGTGAGTGTGAGCATGGACGTGTGCACATGAGCATGTGCGTGCGTGAGTGTAAGTGTGTTCGCATGTGTGTTAGCGTGTGTGTGTGAGTGTGTGTGTGTGTGTGTGTGTGTGTGTGTGAGCGTGTGTGTGTGTGTGTTTGTGCGCGTGTGTGTGTATAACGAAGTTTTTAAAAAAGCACCAACTAGAATACAACAGACATGTTTCATCCACTAGACACTGTGTTCAGACAGCAAACCACGACTGGTGGCAATAAAAAAAAAACTAGCCAATTTTTTTTTCTTCTTCAGAAGAACACCCAAATACCTAAAGCCTAAAGGACATAATGCATGGAGAGTATAGAAATATATATAGAGATGTCTATTACATCAGAACTAGTCACATTTTTAAACCCAACTAGACCATATCTCATATTTAACAATAAAGCAACTAAAGAGCTCAAACATGGGATAAAAGACATGACATAATTAAGGTTCCATAACACTGACCGCTTGCTCGTTTGTTTGTTCATACTGATAAAATTGTGTGTAAAAGAAGCATGTAGGTGCAGCAATGATCATATTATTATTCTAGTCTACCCCTTGTAGATGAAATAGCAAAACAATAGAGACAAACAACATAATAACTTGACGACGAAGAGGCAATTTCTGAAAATCCAAAGTGTACTTATTTTGTGCTCCTTAATAAATTCTATCACAACACGAAATATATTGTATTATCATCAAGGTGCCAAGTCAAAATCTTCACAATAAAACAGAATACGACTGTAAACAAAGGGGGAGAAAGCACTTCTTTGCATAAACACATTAAATTCTTTTACATTTTGATCCATGCGTACTAAATCTGATGTACATAAAAGCTTTCTTAGAAGAAAAGACGGAAGAAAGAATCTACTCCTACTTCAAGACGTGCAATAATTCAGACATTCTCACGTCTTAAAAATCAAGGGAAATAAGCGTGGAAAGTCAATATCTTTGAAATCAAGGGATGTAACCGTAAAAATTCAAACTTGTCTACACAAGTCATGATTCACACATATAGAATATTGTGTTTAGTTTGAAAATACACAACT